TGTGGGGGACCACAGACCCGACCCGCAAAGCTGGAAGCCGACATAAGGGAAACCAGTGCCAAAGACCCCGAGAGGGACCCCAAGTGCGCAGCCCCAGAGACATTATTTTTACACTTTAAGATCATGCTGATGATTCTCACAGAAATATTGCTTTTCTGAGCAGCTAGAGCTGCTGTTTGTGCTTTTCAAATTATTGTAAAATGTGAAAGTGACAGCAATGTTAATAAAGTTCACATAAACTACATGTAAAAATATGATTTATCTTGTTTTAAAACAGCAGCAGCACTGTCAGTATGATAAGAATAGCCATCAGGTGTGAAATTTATTGTTCAAAATATTTGAACCAACCCAAATTTTTATTGAATCTTGTATGTATTCAATTTTTAATCTGTACCACTGAATTTGCCCTCAAAAATTTGCTTCTTTTTATTTATTTATTTATTTTGCTTTTACCTTAAAAATCTAACTAAAGCACATAAATAAAAAATAACCTTTTTAAACATCATCAATTTAACTAAAAGATGAAAAAAAACAGAGTTAAATCATGAACACTGTGGCTGCAGAGGCTGCTTCATCTCCGAAAAATAATTTATTGGACTGATTTCTGTTAAATGGTTCCATCTGCAGTGGGGTTGATTATTTTTTTCCCTCTCAAGATGTAGAAAATGATGGCGAGTAGCCAGAAATGTTTTCACAAAAATAAACCTTTGAATTTGCYAGCCTCATCAGTGCTGGAGTCGATCAGAGTTTTCACCTGGAACACATTTCACAAAAGATTTTTAGTTCAAACRGAAAACAAAAGAAATGGTAATTGTTTTGACATATTACTCCTCTAAGAGTGGGAGCTGTTACATTTGTGCAAGAATTCATCTTAACTGTAGGCTTATTGTCATGGCAACAAGCATCGTTTATTTTTTCCCTCCATGGCCCTGTTCAGCCATTCATTTCCTCCTCTAGGTGAAACTGATATCAGAATTATCTTTACTCTGAGACGCCGGTGATTCAGTTTGCCGTCCAGATGTCTTTAATCTCAAATTAATTTAAGATACTGTAGCATTTTTAGAGCTTTTAGAGCCAAAATCTGAGCGGAAGGAAAATGTGTGGTGTGTTGACTGTGCAGCCATCCAGCTATCATATCAAAAACACGGATCAGATGAGATTAGCAAACTCTTCAAAGCCGTTCTTGTAATTGCCTCCAAGAGTCAACATTAAGGCYAGCTCAACACAAACCAAGAAATGAGGCATGAAATAATTAGGCCACTTCTTTCTGTTTGACTTAAAATCTCTTTCTCTTTTTGTTTTCCTTTCTGCTCCTCGTGCCGTSTTGGAACGGTTTGACCAGGTGACGATCCTGGTGGACGGGATCCTCACCACCACSGGTTACACKCAGGAGGACTACACCATGCTGGGCTCGGACGATCTCTTCTACATCGGGGGCAGCCTGAACACGGCTGACCTGCCGGGCTCCCCAGTCAGCAACAACTTCATGGGCTGCCTGAAGGATGTGAGTACGACTGTTCCTGTCTCGTCGGCCCTTAAAGGGAACTCTGACTACCGGGTACTTGRAACATTAGACATTATTTGATAAACATTTGCTTCAACTACAAAAATGATTATAGAAAAAATACTGTAGACTTTTTATTTTTTATAAATAAAAAAAATGTGTTGTCACACAGGCATGACCATGTGATTTACGCTGCAGAGCATTCTGGCTAAATGATGACACATACCGGTGTGAGCTTTATCCAGTTTGAAGGTTAATTTTGGGCAATTCCTGTCTCTCAGCCTTTTTAAATGAAACCGGTGCATGTTGGCAGAGAGGAGAATGTAGAAATGACTCAGCCTGCAACTAAAAATGAAGATGGAGGACAACAGAGCTGTTTTGTGGAAGGAGAGCCTCAYCTTTAGCCTTTTAGCTTTAACGTTAGCTCCAGAGGTAATGTATATTCATGAGTGATAAATAGCATTTGCTCAAAACATTTACAGTTTTAGCTCGGGAGCAAACACCATATACAGTATATTAATGTTGTTAGCTCCCGAGCAACTGAACTCTGGAGCATGGAGCTATTCCAGTGAAGTTTGAACATTGTGTAAAACACAATTACATACTGAATACGATGATTTGCAAATCCTTTGCAATCAGTTTTTATTGTTCTTAGTTTTAAACATGCAGTTGAGGGTCATCATTGCTTGGCACAATGGCATGTTCTTACAAACAAAACTAAATCAAGAATAAACAATATACAAGTAAAAATAATTTCTAAAATCATTAATTGTGATAAATTGTGTCATTAATACATTAATTTCATTATCATGGCTACAGCAGTGAGTTTAAAATAAAGATAATTCAACTAATTGAATGAAGAATGTATCTTTATTTTGTTATTTAATGAAGTGTTTTTATGTAGGTAAAAGTATGTTTAGGAACCTGTTAAAATGCGTCAAAATGCAGGAAAGTGCATCRAGTAATTCAAAATCTTCTGGTAGGAGTACCCCCAGACCCCCTACTAGTGTGCCTTTCACACACATTACAATGCTTCTGATGCTCATGGTTAAATAAACCAACACAGAGCACCACCTATGTGTCTCTCTGTTGTTTGAAAATGCTAACCCCTAACTGTTTTTTTACTGTAATATTTTTACTGTAATTGACTCGTATCACTGTAATATATTCTTGTACCCCAGGTTGGGAGTCATTGCTTTAGACAGCATCAAGGGCTGAAGGAACTGTCCAAGGTCCTGAAAGTGCTGGAATGTTTCAGGATTCTGGACAGTGTGAAAGGTTGAAGGAACTATCCAAGGTACTGAAAGTTCTGGGAATTTTTTGGACCCTGGACAGTGTGAATATTGAAGGAACGGTCCAAGTTCCTGAAAGCGCTGTAATGTTTCAGGACTCTGGACAGTGTGAAAGGTTGAAGGAACTATCCAAGGTACTGAAAGTTCTGGGAATTTTTTGGACCCTGGACAGTGTGAATATTGAAGGAACGGTCCAAGTTCCTGAAAGCGCTGTAATGTTTCAGGACTTTACTGCATTAAAAACTGACGTCAGTCTGTAATASATTTTACCGCATGAGCTCACGAACATTTCAGAAAACTGTTGTCAGTGAACACAATTTGTCYCTACATCTACAAGTACTYCTAGTACTTMCTAGTWCAAGTACTACTSTACTATGCAAAGCRAAAGCRAGATATCAACACCCAGAAACACCCCTGGCTTCATCTGTTAAGGCACCATTGATGCTGAAAGGTACATAKAGGTTTTGGAGCAGCATATGCTGCCATCTAAGCCTCGTCTTTTTCAGYGACATCCTGCTTATTTTAGCAAGATATTGCCAAGCCACACTCTGCACATGTRACACTTCCTAGTAAAAGAGTGRGGGTACTAGACTGACRTGCTTGCAGTCCAGAKRTGTCTCCCATTGAAAARATGTGGAGGATTATGAACAGCAAATTATCACAGRYGAGACCTTGGACTGTTGAGCAAKTGAAGTTGTACAYTCAAGCAAGAAAGGSAAATAATTTCACCTYKAAAACTTCAATAATTAYTCTCCTCAGTTCCRGAATGCTTATTGAGTGTTGTTAAAAGGAAAGTTGATGTAACATAGTAAWAAACATACTCCTGTCCCAGKTTTTTTGGAACATGTTGCAGYRATTGAATGAGTGAATATTAACCAGTAAAGTTTAMTTGTTTAAACAATAAATYMCTTGTCTTTGTAGTGAATTCAGTTGAAWATAGGTTGAAAATAATTTGTGAATCATCACATTCTCTTTTTGTTTCACACAACCCACATGTTGCCCATAACATGGAAACTAATACAAAATGTAAATTTATTGTCACACATTAAAAATATTTAGCCTACTCTTTGTGTTTTAGTCTCAATTGTAACCTGTCATTATTATCATCATCGCCAGAATGCATTGTACCTGTAACAAAATAGCAATGTAACAGAGAATCTTCAAGGTAATTATTTGTTTTCTCAGATCACAAACAACATAGTAAGGCCAGCATGTGACATTAGTCAGAGACCCCTTTAATTTGTCTGTTTCTGCTGYTGTAGGCTACTTGGAAGGAGAAACACTGAGTTAAGAGGTAACACWGCAGGAATCCCTTTGAGAGCGCCACGCTAATATACATAAGAAACAATCTCATGTTCAGTCCTGATGCGCAGGCTGATCAGCACCTCTTCCACATTTTTCAAGCTCTCTCCCTCCCGCCTGCACCTGTCACATTGATTCTCCTCAGCCAGGAAGACGAGACCATTCACTTCCTTTTACAAGAAGTGCAAATAAATGAGCTGCTGTTACGTCCTCTGTTACCCTGGCACCACTGCTCCCCAGCAAATAGGTTGATTAGTTTACAGAAACTTTGACATGACAGAGGATAAGATTTATTTTATAACAGGAAATCTTATTAGACTCTGCTTCTGATCCCCCTCCTCTAAATCCAGCTGCAGGGGCTACATCTGAAAACAGTGRACCAGAATAGAACAGGCGCATCACTTACATATAGGATACACAAAGTGCACAAGACAAATAGAGTGCAAATAACCTGATTAGGCTACATGAAGCAACAGTAGTGGCAGGTTGGAGCAGCTCTGTAWTGAGCAGCAACTTCACTCTGTGACAGAGCAGCAGCTGAAACTGTTTTTAAGACTATGTTCTCACTGCAGATCAACTCTGTGGAGCCCATCTTGTGACACTGAYTAAAAAATAATGATGCACGGCCTCAAGTTAGTTAACACAAGCCAGTAAATAGTTTGAAGTGTGGCGATGAGATGATAATGCGTAGCCAAAAGACAGTTACCCTGTGACCTTGATCTAGTTATTGCATGGCCACAGACAGTTAGCCTGTGACCATGACCTAGTTATTGCATGGCCATGTGATAGTAGTTTAACTGTGAAAAAGAAATGTTACAAGATATTTAACACATAACAATATAATAATGAGTGGCCATGAGAGTTAACACATGGTCAACAGATAACATTGCCACAGCCATGAGARACAAAGGCTGGCCATGAGATAGTTAACGTGGCCACAAGATAATGCAGGGTGGCCATGAGATATTAATGCATGGCCACGAGATAATAGTG